CGTCCACTCAGCGGGGTCGCAGCTGCCTCTGCGCGTCCTGGGGATGTACCTTTGTCGCGCGCCGGAGATGACTCGACGCCGCTGAGATCGGAGATTCAAGCTCTGACAGGTCGCACGTCGCTCCTTTGACGCCGACGTGACTCACCCGTGCAGATCACATCAGGACACGGTCTCGACGCGCTCGGTACGACGCCTGCGACCCGTCTTGGGTCAAGTGGCACGACGCTCATCGCGCCTACCAGCGCTGCCGTGCAGGTTGCCACGACGAGGTCGAGCACGCTTCTATACGCTCGCCCAGCCTCCCTTTCCATCCCATTAGGCAGCATGGGAACGGTGGCGAGCAGAGGCAAAGCCTACGAGGGGTGGTGGAACCACATGTCGCGGCTACTGCCGGCTCGACCCCACGATAGCCTCCGAAGGCTGACTTTGAGGCACCATCATCGGACGATGTCGACGAGTTGGGTCGCTCTCGCGGTAGCCAGGTAGCCCCCCATACTAGTAGCACCGGCCATGGCCGCAGGAAGCTCGGGGGAGGGCGCTGGGAGCAACACGGAGCTCCGTTGGACGCGTTTTCAAGATTAGCGTGTCAGAGTGAATTGGAACTAGCCCTTCCTTCTTCAGCCAAGGGCCGTGCGTGCGCTACGCGGCCGCTCCTGCAGTCGGGCCCACCGACGGCGGCGCTTCGGGCGATGGCTGCGAGGGCGATGGCTCATCTTCCCCATCGCAGTACTCGGCCCCGAGTTGGAGCATTCCCGTCGAACCTACGACGATATCGCAGGCTCGCACTTGCCACTCGTCCACACACACTCGCAGCTGCGGTTGTGCACTGTGTGCGTTGTAGTGGCCAGCGTCAGAGCAGCTTCGAGCTGGGCAGCCGGAATTCCTTTAAGGTCGGCTCGAATTGCGTCTTGGATGCACGCAACATTGAAAAATCCTTCGATGTCGAGACGCGCGGCCCCCAACATCTCAAAGGTTGTCTCTGGTGAATCACGGTTACCTTCTTGTTCCCAGGGCAGTGAGAGCCAAGTCACATTCCGTTCAATTCCTGATACGTTGAATCTGCCATAAGGGTCGTGGTGTTCCGCTCCGAATGTCCTTGCTGGTTTACCAGCGTCGTAAGCGTCACTAAGTGGTGTGGAAATCATTAGATATTGCACCCGCACTGCGTCGCCATATGCCAGACAGCCCTTCTGTTCCCTCGGGTTAGGGCATCCACGGCATGGCATCAACCACCAAGGAGAAAGCGAAGTGTGTTGATCAATCTTCAATGCATCATACGTGGAGTGACAGTTGAAGGCTCGCATCACGTACGTCCCTTGTGGGCTGTACAAGTTGACGTTGTCCAAGGAAGGAGAATCGCTGATGCTGTGCATGTCAAAGTAAGGACCCAACAGGCTAGGATCATTATAGCCGCGGTTAAACGCATCATATTTGCGGTTAAACGCATCATAAATTGGGTGCTGGTCGGTCATGCAGGAATACCCACCTCCTTCGCCCCGTCCGAACGAGCAGTAGTTGCCGTTGCACCCGTAGCCAGTGTCCTCGCAATAATCCTTGATCCCATCGCAGACCTCAATCCCTGGTTGGTCACCCCAGACGCGTTTGCACTGGTCAGGAGCACCGTGTTGAATGGTATCGTTGAATGGTATCGACGACGGTTTCCCCGGCGGGGTGATCCAGCACTGTGAAGTCGAGTCCTTGCTGACACACACTCCATCGAAAGGCTTGCAGATCCACCTGAATTGCCCTCGGACGAACAACTTCTTCGGAAAGAGCCCTTCGCAGCAGCTGGGATCGTCGTCGCGTATGTGGGGAGGTATCTGGTCTTCCCATGGTAGGATGATTGATGGCGGGGATGGACCGCAACGTGCAATGCCCGGTTGGCAGTAGTCTTCACCTGCCCCAGTGCACGTCCTCTGCCCGGGCGCAAAGGTTTCGGCGAAAGAGACGGGCACGAATATGATGAGTCCGAGCAGCACGATCGTACCACAGCCGAGCATCGCGCGGCACGGAGTGCCGCAGAAGAAGGTCCACTGCCGCTGCAGCCACGACGGCCGCACCAACGGCGGGTCGCCAAAAGCGTTGCCGGACTCGACCATGGACTGGGAGAGGTCGATGCTCTGGCGCTGGCTGTGACGCGAGCCGCGCGCGACAGAGGAGCGGGCGGGGTCCTCGAGCGAGAAGTCGGAAGCCATGGCGGCGCGGTTTGGGGCAGAGAGTAAGGTGGAGCCGACAGCGCAAGGTGAGCAAGCAAGCTCCTTCCGCGGATTTGCATGATTAATTAAAAAACCAGTGCGCTTTAACGAGAGCAAATCTCGATTTATCTCCAGTCGTAGCGGTGGAACTTTAAAACGGCTCGGAAAATATTTAGCGCCGTCTGAGAGGTTCACGCCACAGTGTCGTTTGGGTCGACAGTAAATCTCCCACAGCCCACGTAAATCCGTCTTTTTCAGGCATCCGGAGCCCGCCGCGGCCGCTTCTACGCCGGCGAAGCACCATCAAGCTGCTGTACGGCCCCGGCATCGCCTCCCCTGGCTTAGCTCTCAGTCAAGATACTGTGCACATGGGGTGGCTTCTACAATATACTCACTGACACTGGCACGCCTCTCGTCACACCTCCGCCTAGCCGCCACCCCTCCTCTCCTCCTCCAGTTCCTCGACATCATGAAGGAGTTCAAGGCGCAGTCGATCGACACGCCCGGTGTCATAGACCGCGTGCTGCAGCTCTTCCACGGGCACCGCGAGCTGATCCTCGGCTTCAACAATTTCGAGTACAAGATCGAGTTCTCCGACGACGAGAAGGCGCCGCGCGTACAGCTCAAGTACTCCAGGCCGACGGAGCGATCGGCGGCGAGCTCGGGCCACCTCGAGCGGTCGATGTGGAACTTGTCGAGCGCGGTGCGGATGCTGCATCATGTTGGGGCACCCGATCGGCCGGCCGTGGCTTTGACGCTCGCTCTCGGCGACGTGCGCGGCGGTTTACAGGTTTACACGTGTGTACGTGTGGATCCGAGAGAGCGCTGCGTAGTGTGTGTACACAGCTCGCCCCACATACACGGAGTTCGGGCTCCGATGCGTCTAGAGCCCGGGGTTGTTTTGCGTATGTATGGGAGGTTTGTAAGGTCTGTGAACAGCGCCTAGCCAAAAAACGCGCGCTGTTGCAGCGCGGTAACGTGCCACAAGCGACCTGCTCGCGGGAACCAAATCGGGCACTACCACCGACGTAGTCATCTCGACCTCGCCGCCGCCTCCGCCGGCCTCCCCCACCCCCCACCCACCCGCCCACGATCTCGCCGCGACCCTCTTCCGCCCTTGGGGCGGCGGCGGGCTCTGCCCTGGGCAGTGCCCTCGGCAGAGCCGTCGGTCAGTCCGAGTCGGAGCGAGACGTGCTCCTCCGCCGGCGGCCGTCGCCCCGGCCGCCCCTCGCCCTGGCCCTCTCCGACTCGCCCCGCT